TACGTATAAAAATGCCTGTTTTTTTGCTTGTACTTTATGCATGTACACTTTGAGCAACCATTGCCATGCAAGTGTCCTTTATGCTGGTGAGATCCTGAGTTCTGGATGGCCATCTGTCGGGGGTGGTTTGAATACAAGTTTCCTGCTTCTTCATAGGGGTTGGACTGGATGGCCCATGAGGTCTCTTCCAACTCTAGGATTCTATGATTCTGTCTCGGAACATGGTTAGTGGAACTCACCTGGCTTCCCTCAGTATCCGTGAGTCCTTGGAAAACCTAAAATTTTCAGCTTCAAATTCATACGCTGATTTTAAGTGCAACTGATTCAGTAGGGCTATTCTACTTGAGGCTAATTGTTGCATTTTTAAGAAATGGCCTTTAGGATGAATTGATAATTATATGGGAATAAGAACTAAGTAGACTTCCAGATTTAGCTGAATTGTAGTTCCCAGCTCAGATCAGCCTACCTTGTGGTAAAGACTGCTGGAAGCTGCAGTCCAACAGCTACCATATGACTTCCAGCCCAGCCCTAACATATGTGATGTATTAACAGACAAATTTTGTTTAACATGTACCGAGAATACCAGGTAAGCTATATTTCAGATTAAACAACTGGCAAAACCACTTCTGAGTATTTCTTGCCTCAGAAAACCCTATGAATTAAATGAAATCTCCTTAAGTTGATAGTCAATGTGAAGTCTCATACACACAATATACTATTGCAGGTATAATTCATCCTCCCTGACCACCCTGTAGTACAAAGATCTGTGGGATTCATTTACAGTAGGCAGGAAGGAGTAGACTACTAGTTCAATTCCCTTTCAGGCCATAAGCTACAAGCAAGTCTAAAGGAAAACCCTGTTGAAATGGTCTTTTCCAGCTGTTGATTCATAACATTCTTCACATGCTTCTCTAGCCTTTTGTTCTATACCCCCCCCCAAATTCTGATAATGATACAGAATGTATTTTGAGAAATGTATGTGGCATAGCTGAAACTATTAATGGTGCTCTTAAAGGAAAGGAAATAAGATTTAAAGAGCATGACAGGTGTGAGGGAAGACTATCCCAAATCCCATTTTAGAGGTCTTGAATTTTCACTTAGCTTCCTAGGAGCTTATCACACACCCCTAGTGGTCTGTCGTCTATTTGCCTTTAATTTGCCATTATTTACAACTGGTTGTTACAGTTTACCTAGCGTTTGCTTATCCCACCACTGTATTTTTTCTTCCACCCCTTTCCCCCTCCATCCCTTTCCTCCCTCTATTACTTCCTACCCCTCCTTGTCTCTCTTTTTGGGGTGCCCCCCCCCAACATTGTGAAAATTGCACAATGATGAAATATCGGGAGTTTTCTTTGTCTCCTCCTACACCTACAGTTATTATGGTTAAGAGTTCTCATAGTGCACATGCCTGCAATTTGATCATTGCAGAAATTGGCATTTCCACAAAGAAATTTTAATGGGTTTTTTTCCCTGGCATATCAGACTGAAGTAAAAGTTATGAACCGGAGACTTGGAATTACTGCTGAAAATAACAAATAGGCAATAATGTTCCCAACGGATATTTTCGTAAGGTTTCAGTCACAGGAACCATGTAAATATTATCTCTAATATCATATGCTTCTGCTCTAAATGAGTCCAATTCATACAAACTACATACAAACCCGTAGCCCATCCTCTGCATGGCAGATGGAGAAATTAATCAGTTGTACTATAATATGGTCAAAGTGAAGGACAGCAGTCATAGTGCTCAAAATCTTCATGTACTTATTTAAAGTATTAATGAGGGAAATCCTCCAAAGATGATTTCCAGAAAAGGATAGAAACACAAATAATATCTTAACTTATTTCAGAAAATTGGTTTCATTTCCTGCAATTTGCTTTTATACTGTCCCAAACATACAAATAATTAAATCCAGTTCCTCTTGTTTTGCTGGTGGAAATATTTTTCTTAGATTGTATCCAAATCAAGGTTTCAAATTATGGTACCCTTGTACTAAAGTTGCTACTGACTCAAATTATTTGTGTAACACCATTTTTAGTTCCTTGCCATCACACAGACTTCATTTATTGAAAATTGCCCTGTTAACTTTGGGTGGCCTCTTTAAATGTCATCATATGCAGGACCATCAAGAACACTCCAAAAAGCAAAGGAAAGCCATAGAGGCATGTTTTGTAGCCCTGGAGCCAATACATAACTCACAGAGAAGCCCATTTAGGTGTAGCATGGAAGTTGCAACCATGTGTTTCCAGAACTCCTAGAGTCTCTGAACATCATATACGGTGCTCCTGGAACTTGAAGTAGAGGCATATCTGGGGACCCAAGTTTAGGAAGCACTGGTATAGAAGAGTGCCAGAAGCTAGAAGCAGGGAAAAATAGTAATGCCTGTGGAAATTAATTCCTAACATGAGTGGCCAAGTGCCAGCTGTCACCAATGCACACTTGCCAAGAGCATCAGCCTGCAATGTGAAAGGCAGCAGACGCAGGGCAGGAGACAACCCAGACCCTCCTGAGCTGGGTCAACCACTGTCATGAAATGGAAGCTAAATGAGACCTGTGTTGTTTGAGACCAACATGGATAGTTGGGGATCCTATGCTTCCCATTCTGCTGTACTGGTGGCCCCTTCTTCCCATAGGTCAGCATCATCAGAGGGGAAGCTCTTAGAGCGGCACAAAAATCAGAACATGAATCAGAACCATAACGCTTCAAGACTTTCTGTCCCAATCAGGAACCCTTGAGGAGTTTTGCAGCCTGTTGGGGCCACATCTTCAGTGTATGTTGTAATCCAAGTACAGTATCTTAATCCTGCAAAAGATTTGTGTTATTTGAGTAGCTCAGTGGAATCTAAGTCATTGAGAGCGGGGTGTAAATCATGCATACTTGAGAAGACCTCTCGAATTGTTTTTATATGTGTGATATTGCACAAAGCAGCCTTGAGATGCAGGAGCAAGGTGAATAGGCAACAAACAAGGATGTAAAGATCCCTTACCTTGCCAGCCAGGGTGGCAGGGCCCAGGAAGAGACAGGCTAGGTAGTTTCAGTTGGAAGGCCTGGCAGAGAGCTGCTGGAGCCATCTTAGTTTAGGGAAAAGCTCCAGTTTAGAGAAGGGGGAGTGGCCGAGGCCTGTGCCAGCCCAGCAACAGCCAGGATTGGTTTGAAGAAGAGGGGCGGAGTTAGCCAGATGGAGGGAAAGAGAATAGTTAGTTTTGACAGTTTTAGAGTTAGTACAGCTGAGTTCTGAGTAGAGTAAAGAGCAGTTTTAGTTCTGAGAGAGAGATTAGAGTAGGAGTTGGATTGTTTAGGAGTCTCTGTTTAGAATAGGCAGTTTGCCTGTAGTTTGCACAGCACAGTAGGCTGTGGCAGACTGAGTTACAGCTATTTTGAGAGAGAAAATAGCTGGGTTTTGGTGATTAAGAAACTGTAACAAAGGAAAGAACATTCTCTCAAGAAACCATTACGCTTATAAGTACCAAGAACACTTTTTATTGTAACCATCAAGCCTCTGAACCTGCATTCTCGTGTTATTCTGTTTTTATAATCAATAAACTCTTTCTTGTTATTTTTAAAAGTCAAGCCTGAGTCAAGTGCCATTTTTGGTTAGAGTCATTTCTTTCCTTTTTGAGTCAACCTCTCCTGTTTTCCCTCAAAGAAAGCCCTTGATAATTGACAGTATTTTTTTGGTGGAGTAAAAAAGCCTTTTAATAACTTAAACAGCATTTCAACATTTTAAATAGCTAGAGAGTTCGTGTTTCTTTATTTTATGGTGGCAGCGAAGGTTTTACACAACGTGACATCCCCTCAAGCACTAGAATAGCCGAAGAGGTGTGAATTCCTTATTGAAGGAAAGGACAGTGGTGAGTTTCCTTGACCCCCCTGCCCAGACGGCCTCTTTTGAGTTATTATAGTTAGCATGGGTGTTTGGTGCGGGAGTTTGTGGAGGAAGCAGATGTCCATTCTCTTTGCATTACTTTCACCTGCCATATTCAGAGTGTATTAAAAGACAGAAGACAAGTTTTTGTCTGAAAAGAAAGCACTTAAAAAAACCGGTGTTGCTTTCTCAAACCTACTTGGGAACTTTCTTTCATAAGAGGAAAAATGGGCTCCATCTCCTTCTCCTCTTTTCTTTGGATCTACTGTGGGTTGCATATGTGGAGACAAAGCAATCTTTGTCTGCATCTAGAATAAGCAGAGTTAATTGCTTCACCTCCTTTGGGGCAAGGTAAGGCAAGACCTGAGAAGCTGGCCTGGCTCTATCATTGGTTCACCAATGACAAAAATTTCTGTCATGCCTAGGAGGGTGGAAGTAGGAAAAATGACTACTGGAAACTTTGGCTTCTCTCATTGTTTGTTGCTTATTCTTGCTGCCATCTTTATTCCCCTCTTGTTTTCATGCTACTTCTGTGAGAAAGCAAACATGGCAATAACTAATCTTCATGTGTTAGGTCCTATATCATGCTTACTGGGATGGAGAAGCTGGGAAGGGTAGATTTTGATTTTTTTAATGCCTAATTGGGGTGTGTTTTGTTTGACTGGTCTGGAGAGCATGTAAATCTTTGGCAGGCCAGGAGCTGGATCATGGTGGCAAAGCTAGTCTGCCTTCCAACATTTAACAATATAAAAGTGGGTCCACCAGTAATTTCCTGTTTCTGCTACATAGATGCTGTATGTATTCTAGAAGAGAAAATGCATCATGGATTTGGGTACAGACCTTTGACAACTGGTAGATCAGAGTTGGAAGAGGCCTCATGTGCCGTTCAGTCCAAACCCCTGCCAAGAAACAGGAAAATCGCATTCGAAGCACTCCCAACAGATGACCACCCAGCCTCTGCTTAAAGCTTCCAAAGAGCCTCCACCAGATGCTATAGAATAAATGAAAGCGAGGAGTGATCAAAAGTATTGGTGTAACTTCTCTATTTATGTATTTTAGATAAGTTCAAGAAAAGCCTGAAGACCTTTGTCAATCAGATATTTTTATTAAGGATTGAAATAAGACTTTTCTACTCCACTTGCACACATTTAATAGAACCCATTTTAATCAACAACATGCTTTGGTTTATTATATTTGAAAAAGGCTTTGAATAATATGATGAAAATCCTGGTCCATACTGAAAGAAACAAACAAGCTCCTGTCTTCTCCCTTGATGCACATCACAATGTTATGTAGTTTTCTTCTCTGCTGGGAACCCAGAATCAGCACATCTTGGAGTCAAGACTGGCAACAGGTATTTGATTAGACTTATGAAAATGTTACATATGTTTTCTTTGCATTAGACAAGTTCACCACAACTCAAGCCATGTTCTGAATTATGAAGTAATGGGTAGCTTACATGATGCCAAAGCTCTTAAGGAACTGAATGATGTCTACTATCTAACTCTTGCAAACTCTTGCAAACACAACATCCACAACAAATTGTCTAAAAAATAATATACTTTGGTTCAAACGTTTGGTTCAGAAGTTTGGTTTTGGTTCAAAGCTGAATGTCTTGGATGTAGTCAAGTTTCTACAGGCACTGAGGCATCTCCAGATACGTCTTGAAGGAACATTGAGGAAACCAATCTGGATGCAGCTTTTCTGTAGGCTATGGCAATTTTCCCTGCTCTATTCTCTGTAAGAAACTTGGTGGCATTCACTTTACTTCTCAAACTGTATATATACTAAGGAAATTGTTACTCTGTTTGGAAAGAGATTCTTGTTCTGCAGTTTTAACTATTCTTCTAATCTTTCTTCCCTTCCGTTTTTTAGAATCTCTCTCTCTCTCTCTCTATTGATTTAATATCCTACCTTTTGTTTCGCATGGGATTCAAGGCAGCAGAAGTTTCTCGTAAAATCTACCAGGTTCACAAATAATTGGGGGGGGGGGGCACCTTTTTTACAATATTATTATTAGCATGTATGCTTTTCTATACCTGTTGCAACTCTACACTAAATAACAATTCTTAGATACACATTAAGGATCCAAACCCATTTTCCACCACACTAGTGGTAAGCTAGAGAACACATTGGCCTGTAGAGCCACTGCATGTCTACATCCTTATTAGAAAGGCAACAATATTGCAGCTATGGGCTAGAAAAAGTCATTTCTTCTTCCCTGGTACCAAATTACCCCAGTATTTTTTCCTTCTTAACTATTCTGTTTGGAGCATGATTAATTATCACCCTTTTCAGCAAATCCATTATGATTTTTGTGGCACTACCAGGGTTGGATATTAAGGATGCGAGACAAAGCGGATACGCTGCGAGTAGGCTAAATCCACAATGTAAAGCACTAGATTTATATATGTGAACACTGCAATGACCACCTGGCTGTCCCAGGGGCAGGAGCCTCTGGAGCATTGATATGGACGATGCGGAGAGCCATATTTACGATCAAAGCAGAACACAGGCCAGATCACCGCAGCACTTACATACATCAGGACCGCTAGAAATGTGTAAATGACCACAAAGCGCTCAAAGGGGCACTTCATCATCGCTGTTCTTCCTGTGACACTGAGCACCACTACCACCACAGTTACGGCAAAACAGAAGCTGTAAACTGCCACACACCACTGGGTGGCTGCGTATTTATTGTACTGGCTGCCATTCACCAGAGCTCCAAAGATGATGCAAGCCACAAAAGCCTGGACAATTTTCAGAAGGCCAGACACCGTGGCCATGTAGTTGGTTACTTGTCCTGGCTTGGCCCTTGTGAAAAATACCTCCATAGCATATGCAAAAAACAGAAGGCCGGCAAAAACACTGGCAGAGATGCGGAAGTCTCTCACCTCACATCCACTGGAATGGCAGCTGAAAGGGATGTACAGCGGGTAAATCACTGCCGCTGTAAGGGTCATGAGAGTGGCCAGCATTGCAAAAGCTGCTGTGAAGTTCCCCCAAGAGATAGTCAGGCATCTGTGAAAGAGGGTGAACTCACAAATGATGATGAAGATTGTGATGGCGAAACAGAAACACCAGACAGACATGCAGAAGGTGCCATAGGCCACGCTGAATCCTCCTCGGTGGGCCACGAGGCTGAACGTTGCACAACCAAAGGCTGCCTGAAAGATCCGGGCAATTCCCACCTTAGAAGTCACTGCCGATGTGTTGAGGTGTGTCCCTCCTGAGCTCTCCATCATTGGTCCAGAGCCACCTCGTGTTCCTTTCGTGATTGGGCGTGGGCCTCCTGATCCCGAACCACCACCACCGGCCCCACACACCTGGCACTTCTAAGCAGGAGCTGCCGCATGCGAAAGCTTCATATTCCTCCGCCAGTCTCTTGGCTGACTGGCTCACTACATACGCCGCAGAGCATGCTTTGTTGGAAGCTTCCTGAGAGAATCTTCACTCTGCAGTAAGAGTATTGACCTGGCTTTGTGGTTCACTGCAGTTACGATTCATCAATCAGGCTGCTGGGCTGGGGTCTGCCTGCTGAGTGCTCCTTATGCATTTGGTCACTCTCTCTTCTGTCATTCCACCTCCAGTGATCACTTTCCCCCAAGTGACTCCTAAAAGGCCATTTACTCTGTCTATGCAGCTGTAACCCTCCGCTATGCTGTTGCGAGGAGTCAATATATATAAATAGGAAGCTGTATTAATAGACTGATCTGGAATGGAATGAGCTGCGAGGTCGGCGCAATAATGGTGTGCTGGTTTCAGTTTCACCCAAGATTGATTCACAAGTGTCTACATTGGAAAATCAATTTTAAACTATTTAACAGTAGTGTTCAAGGAGAAAATAACAGTCAGGGGAGTGGGGAGAATTGTACTTCTCAAACACATAGCATTGATATTTGTTTCTTGTAAAATTGAACTCATCACATGCATATTTATTTATTTATTGTATCAGAAGTAAACCAAGGGTACAGTTGAAAGTGTGTTTTAAAAAGTTTAAAAACTTGGCATTATATTAAATGTCCTTTGACCAGTAGCTGGCCACTTGGAGTGCCTCTGGTGTTGCTGTAAGAAGGTCCTCTATTGTGCATGTGGCAGGGCTCAGGTTGCATTGTAGTAGGTGGTCTGTGGTTTGTTCTTCTCCACACTCGCATGTCGTGGATTCCACTTTGTAGCCCCATTTCTTAAGGTTGGCTCTGAATCTCATGGTGCCAGAGCACAGTCTGTTCAGTGCCTTCCAAGTTGCCCAGTTTTCTGTGTGCCCAGGAGGGAGTCTCTCATTTGATATCAGCCATTGATTGATGTTCTGAGTTTTAGCCTGCCACTTTTGGGCTCTCACTTGCTGAGGGGTTCCTGCGAGTATCTCTGTAGATCTTAAAAAACTATTTCTTGATTTAAGGCGTTGGCTTGCTGGCTGATATCCGAACAGAGGATGGGCCAAAGATGTCACTGTCTTGGTCTTTCTATTATTGGCTGCTACTTCCCGGTGGTACAATACCGGCTAAATAGTATAATTTCTCCAGTGGTGTAGGGCATAGACATTCTTTAATAATGCAGCATGTCTCATTAAAAGCCACATCCACTGTTTTAGCATGGTGAGATGTCTTCCACACTGGGCATGCACACTCAGCATCAGAGTAGCAGAGTGCAAAGGCAGATGTCTTCACTTCCCTAATCCTTCAGTCTTCAGCCATATTAGACATATGCATGTGATCAACCAGAAGTAATCACATGCATATGTCTAATATTGCTGAAGACTGAAGGGTTAGGGAGCCACAATGCCTCCTTCCCGGCTGTCCCAGTGACTGTACATATCACTGAAAAGCAAACTCTAAGGAGCTGATCTCTGCTATTATTGCCATCACATACAGCCAGACTATTTGTTTTATCCAATTGTGCTTTGTCTTGATGTAAATGGGACAATTTTATTGTGTTCCAATACACAGCTTTGTAATTATTATTATCTCTGCTGCTTATCTATATAGTCAGCCCTCCACATTCGCTGGGTTTCGGGGCACAACCCTAACACCCCCCCCCCCAATTTTGCTATTGTATTTCTTGTCTAGTGGTATTATATACATCTCAATACATATATATTAAATAGTATTTGTTTTTGTTTTTTAGCTGAGAGAACATTTAGGTCCACTAGCACAACTCTGTTGTCAACTTTTCTGGAAGCTCAGCACAAAAATGCACTGGAGGACCTACAGATTCCTATAGATAACCTTTTATCAGATCAGTGTATAATCAAATTCGCAAAAGTCAAACCTGCAAATAGACTATATGTTAAGGAAAATATGGCCTAGGATTCCAGCAACACACTATAAATACTACTTTAGGAAGACTGGCAGGCACTTTTGCCATGTCTTCTTTTCCCCACCTCCAAATGTTTTAGGCCTGGAGGAACATTTTTAATCTCAGTGTGGATACGACTTCCAGCTTTCTTCCAGGTTTGAAAAGGGCGACTTCTAGGTGTAAACCAGCTCAAAATATATTGTTCTTTATACCCACTACAAGGTGTCATGGAATACTTTGAATGAAAATGAGGTGACCACAGTGTGAACAACCCTGTGAGGGCTGGTGAGGATTGTGTGTAGCCTCGCGACCTGGCTATTTGCCCACTCCTGTGTTCAGGTGAGGCACCTTACCCCTGCTATTTTGTAGTATCATTTAAGAACAGAAAATAGTCAATTTTTTGGATTTTCTTTTGCCATTGTAAGGGCTGTTACTCGTGTTTTCTAACTCAGGCACCAAGATGTCTGGGACAGTGATATTCCTCAAAGGTTCAAAGATCCAAATATAAATAAAAAGACGTCAAACATATTCTGAAAATCCACTATTTTTAGTTTTTGAAGGACTGACTCATGATTCTAAAACTTTTGAGGTTGACTAGACATGCCAGGGGTTGTTTGTCACTTAATTTAGCCATCTCTTCAATTGAAAGAAGAACATGATGTCCTTCAAAACATGTCAGGAATTATTCACTGAAAATAAAATGTTCCTTTAACTTCTACAAGTCCCTTTCAAGTTGTACTCATTGCCAGGAAACTGCCCTCATACAGAAATGATCATCTTTTGTTACTTCCCTATCCCACTCCAGCATGTCTGAAGAGTTCTTCAGGATATCTCATAGCCCTGCACTTTTGTGCAAAAAAAGTGGGCCTAAGAGGGGCAATGTCCTCTACCTTCAAAGTGGTTCCTAATGGTCATAAGTCCTAAAAATATTTTAATTAAAAATGCTTTAAGTGAATGATTTATGCTCTATAATGTGATCTGGGGAAGACTGTTGTTCCCAACACACTCACTATTTCTACTTTATTTCATGTATTCACAGCAAAGGCAAACACTTCCATAGGGCTACTGCTGCATCTACCATCGCTCTGAAGAGAACTGTAATGTTCCAGTTTCAGGACGTACAACTACACTGTAAAATTAATATAGCTTGGCCCCACTTTTACTGCCATGACTCAATACCATAGAATTATGACAGCTATTATGAGGCATCAGCACTTTGGCAGAGAAGGCTAAACACCTTGAAAAAATACAATGCGTGCCTATGATTCCATGTCACTGAACCATCACAGTTAAAAGAGGTTTCAAATGGCATTAATCAACTGCTGAGGAGACTCTAAGGGTTAACTGGACCCTCTCCCAAAATGTACTTTAATTATTGTTAACTTGCATTGCATTGCTTTTGCTCTTCGTGGGAGCATGATTATGGTTTCTGTTTAGCATCTTTGGTGCCTATTGCTCCAAGGGTACTATTGTGTGCATGTGGGGCTATTTGTCATGGCCTTGGGCCCATACAATAAACGATTGTTTGATGATGAAATGGCATTAATTCTATAGTGTAGATGTACCCAGGATCTACATTACATTTGTACATCCTAACACCATCCCAAGTTAGTTACTTCATTGGGCTCTACTATACTGATCACTTAGATCAGTTCAAAACTGGTTTGACGGAAACCATTTTCACTGTGCAAACGATTCGATTGCCATTTCTGGAAATGTTCAATGTCAGGATGGTTATTATGTGAAACACAGAAACTGGCCTCAAATAGCTTGGCTATCTGTCAGGGGTACTTTAATTGTGCTCTTCCTGCATGGCAGGGAGTTGGATTGGATGGTCCACGTGGTCTCTTCCAATTCTATTATTCTATGATTCTATGTTTCCAGAATCTGCATTATCCACAACAAAATTTGGATTTCTGGATGGGATGCGATCAAGTGCTTACCAGATGTGTGTGTGTAGTGTAAGTGTGTTAGCAGTGGAGGTAATCAATTACCCCTCTCAGGGAGTCAACTGACAACTTTCTGCCCAGCCTTGCCCTTGGGGCAGTTTTTTGCAGCTCCCCCCCCCCCTTCTGTATGTTACAAAATGACTCGAGCGTGGCGAGTATCTATAATGCACTTTGCATTCTGCAGAGCTGATTTTGCCGTGAAATGTGGTTTAGCTTATGCTCGTGTTGCAGCACATTCAAGGGTGTATTTCGGACTTTCACACAATTTTGCTTGTTGTGAGTTGCAGTGCTCTTTGGTGGCATGCACTGTACAGCATGATCATTGTAGATGATCCCATAGTTTGTGCAAAAATGATCTGAAATGAGGTTTTATAGGTTACCGGTTCAATGCATAAAGTCTTATTTTAGTCGGAAGGTAGTGGAACAGAAAGGGTGCAACTTCTTTTCTGCTTCGCAAATAACAAAAAGCATACTACAAAGAGTCATGGGGATCTAATAGAAATTATAATAACAATGCCACTGCTGACCCTTGCCCTCTCCCAAACACACGTGATCAGAAGGAAAACCTTTCCAAAGGAGAAGTATTTACAACTTTACAACAACATGTGAGCATATCTTGGGTCAGCCCTTATAAATAGCTTTTACATATTAAAAATAAATATTTTCACATTGCCAAAATAGCACAAGTTGTTTTTCTTTTCATTATTTAAAAAAATATGTTACAAAACAATATCATTAATCTTATATTTCTTGCTTATTTCTTTAAAAATTAAGTAATAAAAATCATTTTATAAAATAATACAAAAGTAAATTGAGTATAAGATTAAGTCCATTTTCTAGCCTGTGTGCTTAAGTTGTGTACATTATGTTACACTGCAAGATGCTGGCCTCCAAGAAATGGTGTCATCATACCTTAACTCCTACATGGACAACTAATTCAGTGCTTCCCTTCCTCCCCCTCCTCCCATTCCATGATGTGAAAACATCTTAGAAAAGGTAAAACTATGAAGTCCATTTAAGCCCTGGGCGGGGTTCTGCTGCTGGCATTTCTATGCACTTATTGCTCTTTGCAGACTGTAAGTGAATTATTGCAGACAGGGGTTTGCGTTTGGACTGAGACTGCCCCCTGAAGTAGAGGTAATATTAAAATGAAATAGTGTTGGCAAGCTCCTGTTCCTTTTACCCTAACATGTTAACTGTGCAAGAGGAGTGCATGCATGTCTTTGCCTGTGTGTCTGGGTAGATGTTTGTGTGATGAAAATGAGCACGAAGGACAGACAAGTTTGAGAGTGGAGCTAAAAGGCTTCCGCTCCTTATGCAGTCACACACAGTCCTCCGTAAAGAAAACTCTCCTAGCTCCCACTGCTCAGCATACCCAGAAGTTTACTGGGCTCCAGACCTTGCTGC